CATCGTGGCTCAGTCTGGGGGGCGGCGGTTGCCGCAGCTGATGGAGATGGAGCACAGACTCGCTCTCGCAGACGCCGGGAGTCAAGTCCAGCCTTTTGCTCGGGCCGCGGGGCTGGCAGCCAAGCCCCGCCTCTTAAAGGATCCGAGGGGCGGGGCAGGCAGGGATGCGCTGGGGGCGGGAGACTCCAAAGCGGTGCCCTCGGCCCTCCTGAAATCGGACGCCTGGGCAGGAGATGAGCAGGTGTGCCCACCGAGACTGAGGCCAGGGGGCATCAGAGGAGCACGGAGTCCGAGGTTTAGTTCCAAACGTACCCTTAGCTCACCGTGTGATCTTGGACGAAACACCTGACCTCTTTGGGCCTCTGAACAATGAGGTGACATCTAATGGGCTCTTCGAAGATCAGGATCCCATAATGCAGGACCTCTCCCCTTCCTCCCCCCAAGACGGTAGATTTGACCTGGTGCCCTTGTGAGGGGCGATGTCCCCTAAGCCAAGTCATCGCCCTGCCTCTGGGAACTGTGGTATTGACCAATGCTCTCTGTCCTGCTGTCAGTTTATGATCACTACTGCTTGCCATGCTCGGGCTTTTCAGTGTTGACAGCCTTCCCCCTCCACCTGGAGGCAGGTTGGGTGAAGAACGGGACACCAGACTGAGGGAGCAAAGAAGCACAGACCCCCCTTTCCTCACCCGGGCCTGCCCTCTGCTTCTGACCCTCTCTGCTCTGAAGAAGAGCTCCAAAGATGCTCACACCCCAGCCTGCCTGGAGGAGTGTATCCTCTCTGGAAACTGGAAAACTTTGGTTGCTCTTAGGAATCCCAAATCCTCCAGTTTTTTTATGAGACTTCAGCAAGACTGCACCTCTTGGACTCCCAGCATCTTTATTCACTGCCTCTTCCCCATACAATGAAGATATTTCCTCCATTCAGAGCTCAGTAGCCATCCCCCTCTGCATGGATCCCCTGGCACTTTAATCTCCCTCCATGGCAGCACAAGGTCACACAGGTACCATTCTGGAATCCAGAAATGAATCAGGCACCACCCTGCCCTCCCAAAGATAAGAAACAGGCACTGTCAGCTAGAATACAAGAGCAAGATAAATGTCCCAGAGAGAGGCAGCAAGTATTTGGGCATTTAAAAAATGGAAGAATTTGCTTTGGGTTGGAAGAATCCTACAAGGTTTCACGGAGGGAGTAGCATTTGAGCTGGGCCTTAAAATGTGGGGACATAGAAGGAAGACTCAGTCGTTCCATGCCAGTATGATAGCGTAAGCAAATTTTTGATGGATGGTGGGAAGTATGATTCCAACAAGAGATGTAGGGAGAGGAGTAGGTAGGGAGGACCCTTGGAGCCTTATGTGGCCCTGCTTAGTAGCATATGACTTACTTGGCCATAAGGTCCTTGGGCCCTGTTTTACTCACCTCTAAATCTCCACAAGCCCCCATCCCAGCACAGCTCCCTGCACACAAGGGATTGTTAATAAACGCATGCTGTGTGAAGGAATGCAAGAAATGCCCCAATAGCGCCACAGCATCAGGTGTTGGGGGAGCCTGGGAGGGAGAGAGAAACACTGATCATTCAGGGATCCATGCAGCTCACCTCATTTAACAGCCAGGGAAACAGGCTCAGAGAGGGCATCAGTGGTGTGACAGATGTGGAGTGCCCAGCGACTGGCACATGGAAGGTGTTCAGTCACATCCTCCTCTTATGGAGGGAATTAATGCAGAGCTAGGCCCAGGAGTCTGTGGGCATCCCACCTCCCAGAGCCATGCTTGGCTACCTCTGCACTCAAGACTCTAGAGTGTAGAAAGCAGAAAACCCCCAGTCTCTCTCCTCACTCAGAGGTTGTAGAAGGCAGAGGAGAGGCCAGCTGCACCAGGTCTGTTAAAGACATTTGGAAGGACTTCACTCTACCCCCACCATAGAGGTCTGCTTCAGGGTGCACAGAGAGGGTTGAGGATCAGCTCTATGAGCAGAAGGCCCCCAAACCCACCCTGGCAAAGTTTTCAAGCAGTCCTGGCAGTCCTGCCCTATTTAAAGACTCGTCAGCGTCCAGCTTGGGGCAGGGCACAGCTACTTTCCTTGCTGGATATGTGGCTAAGATCTTTATTTAGTACCCTTCCAGAGGCAGAATGTTGTTTACAAGGTAGAGCCTACTCAGAGGAAAATAGAACAGCCCCTTCTATTGGTTCAGCACTTTACAGTTTACAAGGTACATTCAATCTAGCTTGTCACTTAAGCGTGGGACAGTCCTCTAAGGTAGGCAGGTCATGTGATTTTTTTAGGAACCTGAGGGAGTGAGGTGATCATGTGTGAGCACATGCAGAGTTGGAACTTAAATCCAAGGCTCTGGCTTCTAGGCCAAATCCTCTCAGGAACCCTTAGGCCAAGCTGTGGACGGGCCTGGTAGCCACCTGCAAAGGCTGCCCAGGAAAGCACAGGAACACATTCACTCAGCAGGAAACAGTACCCCACCAACGCCCACCCCAATCTGGAGTTATCCAAAACAAAAGCTTAAAGAGAAGCTCTTCTCTTGACCCGGCCCTCCCATGTTCTGTGGCTACCTACTTCTCTTTTCTCCACTGAGACTTACCTATTTCCAGTCCACTGTAAAACAGCTAGTTAATCTGCTATTATAAATCCTAAATTAATCTGGTGAACTCCTCTGAGCTTATTTCTAAGAAAGACTCCCTCCTTTCCATCCTCACCTGTTCTCTATCCCTTAATTCCTACGCTGCAGCCCTCCCAAGGTATGTTGCACCCCTCCTCAAGTATCTACAATGACTCCCCAGTTGCATCACAAACCAGCCCAATCCCATTGACTTGCACTCAAGGCCTATCCCCACCTATCCCAGCATCCCTTGTGGCCTCAGCAGCCACTCACCCCCTCCACACACTTTCATTTCAGTCAGAGAAGCTGTCTGTTATCCCTCAGATACATTGCTGCCCTCCTGCCTCCGTCGGAGTTGTTGCTTTCTCCTGCATCTTCCTGCCAGATCCTCCCTCAAGGATGCCCTGATCAAATACCATTCCCAGTAATCCCTCTACTCAGTGCAACATGATCTCTGCCAACCAGGAGCCCCTCTTTCCTGGCATTGACATGGACTACTTTGTATTGTAGTGGTGACTATCAAGGAACAGCCCGATCCAACAGGAAGAACCCAGCATCTCCGGTCAGGCAACTGGAGGTGAGAACCTTCCGTGACAGTGTGTTGTTCTGTATATTCCTTGCTGGGGACTGAGGTAGAGGAAGCATACAGGGCATGAACAACTTAAAGAAGGCTACTGGCGCACAGAGATCTAGGAGGAGCGTGGGGGTAGCAGTTCTAGTCTTAGGAATTAAGGGTCCCTTGCTTTAGATTCTTCTGGAAGGCAGCTCAGGGCACAAGAAGGAGCACTGAACTGAGAGTCCAGAGCCTGGGCTGTAGACCACATTCTTGAGTTAACGTGCTGTGGTGGCTACTCGGCAAATGGCGCGGATGGGGCTGCCTGCCCATGCTGCAGAG